TGCTGGGGTGGCCCTAGCTCTGCGGTGTAACAGCCACATATAACAGTGCATGGGGAGAGAGCAGAGATGTGCCCAGCTCTGGGGTGTAATAGCGCCATATAACTGTATGGGGAGGGCTGAGATACACCTGAGGGCTGCGTGCAACGTCCACATACAACAGTTTAGCACAGCCCGCACCATACACTGTTATACATGGCCATTACAACCCAGAGCTAGGTGCATCACAAGACCCAAGACTCTCCAAGAGTGTGTGACTCTCCCCTACTGCAGTGGCCTGGGGGTTGTGGCACGAGCATGTGGCTGGTACCCCTCACTCCTGACCTGCAGCCCCCTGCCTTTCCAGCCCCCTCCCCCCCAAAAAACTTCCAGTGCACCTCACTCCCTACCTGAAGCCTCCTGCCTCTTCAGCACAGCTGGTGCCCCTCACTCCTAACCCACCTGGACAATTGCCCCCTGCACTCCCAGAAAGAGGCAGCAGTATGACTGTCAGGCAAAGCAATGGCAAGCGGAGGGGGGTCAAAGGAGGACAGGAACATTTTCCAGCCCCCTCCCCCCCAAAAAACTTCCAGTGCACCTCACTCCCTACCTGAAGCCTCCTGCCTCTTCAGCACAGCTGGTGCCCCTCACTCCTAACCCACCTGGACAATTGCCCCCTGCACTCCCAGAAAGAGGCAGCAGTATGACTGTCAGGCAAAGCAATGGCAAGCGGAGGGGGGTCAAAGGAGGACAGGAACATGCTGCTGGGGATAAAAATAGGCTTAGAAGGAACAGGAGTACAAGAGAAGAGGGGCAAGCATGCAGGGTAACGGACAGGAATGGGAAAGGATATTGAAGGGATCTGGTTGTAGGCTGGGGGGATATGACTGCAGGCAATGATGATGTGCCAATGCAGCAGTTAAAAGATTGACATGCAAACAGACTAAGTGACAAGAAAATTCCTCTCATTGAGACTGGGCTGTTTCTTTCTTCACCTCAATCCACACCAGGTCCTTGCTGCGTGGAGGTTCGGGTGTTAGCTCATGCTGGCCACTGTGTGGTGATGGGGTGGGGAGCAGCGAGGGAGTTGGAATAGGCTGATCAAGGTCCCCCCAACCCCACTTTGGAAGAAGCTGTCCTGGGCACAGGGATCCCTGGTAGCCAAGGAATCTTAATTAATAATCTTGATAAGAACCCCAAGCCACTCCCACACTGGTTCTCAGCTTTGCTAAAAATCCTGTTTTTTGATGTGTGGATACAAACGACTGACAGGAGACACAGGATTCTTTTTGTTTTACTTAAAAATTCCTGCAGTAATGTTTCCATTCAGGCTTTAGCCTGGGTAGCCTAGGTACATGATACCCAGATGCCAACACACAGGCAGACAGCGGGTAGGGGGGAGGTAGCCAGACCATTTGTGTACCCTTGTGTAACCCTAAGTGTACCCCACACCCAGTGCCCCATGCAACAAGCATGCAGAAAAAGGGGGAGGGGGGCAGAACTGCTTTGGGCCAGGCTTAGGTAGGGGGGCAGCCCCTTTGGGAGGCCTGTGTTACAGACCCCTAATGCTAATCCAGACTTGTGAGGGGGAAGCAGGCAGACTCACTCTTGCAGATCTTTGCATGAAAAGATTTCCCTCCCCAACCAGCAACGCCCTGTGCAACAAGCAACAAGCACCCAGGAAAAAGGTGGGAGGGAGGCTTTGTAGGGGAGGCAGGCAGCACTCCCTATTAAACTCACCCGAACTCCCCAAACAAGCC